TCCCACTTCCCTCGTTAACCCTCTGTGTATTTATGTCTGCGTCTCCCTCAGTTCTGTGTCACGTTCTCCCTCATGCTGCGTGGATTTCCCTGTGTGTCTCTCTCTCCGAGTGTTAGTTTACTTTTCCCAGTTTAGTTTTGTATTTTCCAACGTTCTGCCTCTTCAGCAATAAAGCTGTTTTTTTTGAGTTCATCCCCTGAGTCTGTGAGTTTTGCGATTGGGTCCTCATCCTGCCTGCCACACAGCGACCATGACACATTCATTAACTTTGAACTGAATGAAGCCAGCTCCTCTTAATGTGTAAAGTATCTCTGTGAATTATATTTGTTTTTCAGCATGACTGAAAGCATGGCTGACTCAAAAAATGTAACTTCATCTGTCAATCACACCTGTGATCTGGTTGTCCCATCAGTCAACCCTTTCTTTATGCTGGTCTACAGTCTGCTGTTTCTGGTATGTTTCAAATCGTCAGATTGTGCCCTGAAACTGGTTCCTGGATCATGTTTGAAAGTCCTCTTGTTTACATCCTCTCTGTGTCTCTACAGGTGGGTTTACTCCTCAATGGCTTCATCCTAAAGTTTTACATTTCTCAAACTCAGCAGCAGGCATCCAGCGGCTTGATGGTCTACCTGCAGAACCTGACAGCTGCTGACTTCCTGCTCTGCCTCTGTCTGCCACTGCGGATAATCCACTATGCCAGCAACTCGGCCATTTTGCACATACTCCACTGCAGCATTGGAGCTACTTCCCTGTACCTCAACATGTACACCAGCATCCTTTTCATGGGGTACATCGCTGTTAACAGGTAAGGAACATTTACTAAGCTAAAATTGCAGTTCATAACAATGTTAAAACAAGGATTTTGGTTAATTACACTCTTAAACTCTGTACTTTTGGCAAGAACATGAATATTTAGTTTCACTTTAACAGTGACTTCTGCAGATTTGGCACCACTGACTCGTTTGGTAGAGTTGTATACTGCCTCTTTTATCTCTACAGGTATCTGACAATCATCCATCCTTCAGGAACTCACATCCTGCAGACAGTACGAACTGCCCACATCGTCTCCATGGTCACCTGGGTTTTTCTCCTGGCTCCAACAATCGCCTACAACATCATGTTTTTCATCACTCACAAACCTGTCACCTCTGACCACTGCTACTGTGGGCCCCTCTTCAGTACGTCATTCAGCGTCCTTCATAAAGCATTCCAAATCAGCTGCACCATCATCTTCCTCTTAGTCTTCATATCCCTGGTCTTCTTCTACTACAGCATCTCCCGCAAGGTGTTGCAGGCACAGCAGAGGCAGCTGGCCTCCTCTGGCTCTGAGAAGCTGGTGAAGTCTCGCAGGAACATGTTGGTGCTGGTCAGCATCTTCTGTGTTTGCTTTGTTCCCTACCACCTGGCTCGTCTTCCCTATGCTTTTCTGTGGGACACCAACACTGTGGGCCGGCTATTGTACTACCTGAAGGAGGCAGCCGCCATGGTGTCAGTTTTCAACGTCTGCCTGGACCCACTTGTTTACTTTTACCTCTGTAAGACTTTTCGGGTCCACGTGAGAAAGGCATCCTGGAGAGTCAACAATCCAAACAAACAAACCAGGAGAGTGAGAGCAGCAACGAGCCAAACCAAGGAGCTGTAAAGAAAAGATGAGGCTCAGCTCAACATTTCATGGGGTGATGACATCATGATCATTTTTTAATTTTCAATATATTTTCAAGTATAGAAAACAAAATATTTTTCACTTTGTCATTATGTTTTTTTTTTTTTACATCAATTTTGAGATGAAAAGAAAAAGAATCATTCTGGAATGAGGATGTAACATGACAACACGTGACCAAGTGAGCACTCTCTCGATGCACGGCACCTCAACATCACCGCTTCACACATGGCTCATTTTTAACCTTCTTCTTTCCACAACACGCTAACATGTAGCTTAAACAATCACATTTTTATATCTTGTTTACTTTCTTTCAGTTGTTTTTTTCCAAAACCTGGAGCTGATAAACGATCACCATGTTGTTATTTTGTGCTTGTTTGTGAGTAAAATGAATGTTGTTCTTTGTGACCTGGATTGTGTTGTTAATCTGTGTCACACAGACTGACTATATGTCAGCACTTGTAGCTACCTGCAGCCAGTGTTGGGTAAGTTACTTTAAAAAAGTAATTAATTGCTAATTACTTAATAAATATTGTATTTAAAACACTTATCTAATTACTGTGTCTGAAAAGTAACTTAATTACTAAATAAGAAAATTTAACTAAATACTTCTTAAAATCCCTATAAACCTTGAGTGGACAAATAATAGAAATTAAACTCTTTATATACATTTTTTTTAAAGACAGAGACTCTACAGTACGCAGCGGTAGCATCTCTTCCACAATGTAGCCTGCAGTCATTTTTTAAGCTCACCTTCAGACGCTTTCTGTGCTGCTGAAGTAAAATCACGTTTTGCTGCTTAGCAGGAGTTGCCGCGGTGATGGATGATGAACAAGGATCACTCAGAAGTGTTCGTCTATGCTCTCGTGTCAGGCGCTTCAGTAGATTACTCCTGCTATTAACAGCAGCCGATGGTTTTTACATATTACTGTAATGTTCTTGTCTGCTTGTTTCAGAAAAGTGAAGAGACGGGAATATGTCCATTTCATAAAACAGCCACTCGCTTCAGCCGAGTCCGACAGCTTCCGCTTTAGAATGCGACTGTGCAGCAACCTGGCGCGAAATGACGCGCAGCTGCACTACAACGATGTTAAAGCGGCAGAGTTTATTTTTACCTTTAGAAGACAAATTATTGAAATTAAATAATGATATTCAGCGAGTTTAATTATTTTACAATGTCACGCAAGTACATTGTAAGTAACTGTATTTAAAATACCTAAAAATGAACAGTAATTAGTTACTCTACTTTTTCAGTGGAAAAGTAATTTAATTACAGTAACGCGTTACACCCAACACTGCCTGCAGCAATAATAGAATGTTTGCAGATGTAAATGACTTATTATCAGTCACAATCTCTTTAGATACTGTAGAAAATAATCTGAAGGTTTTTTATTTTCTTGCTTTATTTATGTGTACATCAACAACATGACATGCGAAGCTGAACTGATCAGAAGCGGAGAACTTTTAACCCTCAGTTTTCTAGACTATAGAACACTTAGAAATATCATCAATGTCTTAAATTCAGTTCCAACATTGCAACAAACCAAACTGTCTTAAAAATCAGGTCTCAGATTTATTCTGTATAGACCTCAGGCTCCACAGACATGCACACACTGGGAGGGAAAGACAACCCTGAACAGTATGGCTGCTGTGCTTCCGTATATTTTAGGGTCTTGTTTTGTTTCATGTTGTGCATGTACAGCAGCTACTTCCTCATACTGTTTCCACTGAGCTGAAGGCTGAGGCTACAGTCAGATTTCTCAACACAAAACTAATAATAGAGTGTGTATAGCTGTGGGAAAGTGTGTGTCTGCCCTGTACGCTGTGGTGAAATATGTGTTATTTTTGCTCTTCTGCTGATAGTTATAAATAAATATAGCTGCAGTGATATCATCTGTAAATCCTCTTTTCATCAACAGCTGGACATTAAACTTTATCGTAACACCTAGAAGAACAACCACACTGAGCCGTGTGTTAACGTTCAGTGTGAGCACAAGAAGCGGTTTGAAAATCTAAGACCTCAGAGTGTCATGAAGGAGGCCGGAGCTCTCAGACTTCTTGTGGTTTGAGGCTTTTTTCTGATTGGCTGCTGTTCAAGTGAAGTACTTTCAGATTCTAACTTTGGGCTCGGCACTTATAGAGCGCTTTTCTGCTCTATCTGAACACTCAAAGCACTTTTAACTACAAGCCTCATTTAGCCAGTCACACACAAATTCATACATTTTTAATCTAAGCATCTTATCTAACATTCAATCGAATCCGCCTACATTACAATTGCTAGAAGACCTGCTCTTCCTCCTGAGCCTGTATGTTTATAAGAGACAAATGTTGAATGCTCCTCCTGAATCATATCTGTTGTTAACCTCTGTCTCTCTTCCACAGCATGTCTTTATCCTGTTTTCCTTCTCTCACCCCAACCGGTCGCAGCAGATGGCCCCGCCCCTCCCTGAGCCTGGTTCTGCCGGAGGTTTCTTCCTGTTAAAAGGGAGTTTTTCCTTCCCACTGTCGCCAAAGTGCTTGCTCATAGGGGGTCATATGATTGTTGGGCTTTTCTCTGTATCTAAGAAGCACCTTGAGGCGACTTTTGTCGTGATTTGGCGCTATATAAATAAAATTGAATTGAACTGACTTGAATTAAATTATCAACCTTATAAGTAAACTTTTATTTTTGACTTTTAAATGTGTCCTTAACAGGAAGCATGTAATCATACTCTCAGCACTCTGTTGGGGTTTCATAGTTCCAATGAGCATAACCAATTTTGGAGGTGTGCTGCCACCTGCTGGCTGCTCCCAGTTGCTGCTCAGGCTGTCCATCTCTGAGAGGACACTGGAGCCATGTCACTTAAATGAAGCTGTGTAATATTAAAGAGGAATGTTTATTAAAAGTACCACCAGATCTTAATTATGACTTCAGTGCTGTTCACAGTCAGAAAGCGACTTTGTTTGGTAAATCGGCTAACTCAGAGACTGAATATTTGGGCTTAATCTACATAATTTATAGTGCCTCAGTCTCCAGTTTACACCTGACATTATCTCCAGTACTTGTAGTGTTTCTGAACCAGCAAATTCAGGTTATACTCCCTGTGTTCTGTCTGACCCAGTCAATGTGGATGTTCAAGAAGCTGCGCAGTGTTTGCGAGCTGGCTAATGCTACACTTCCTGTGACTGAGCATGAGTTGTCTCACTCTGTGTTATCTGAGTTGGTGTCCACAGTAAATGTTTGCAAGCCTGGTAAAACCCCTGAGTCAACTGTGTTTGAACCTGCTAATTTAAGGATGAGACTCAGTCATGGGGACTCTCTAATCCATAAACCAAATATCTATGAAGCTAATCTTCCTGTGTTTTGCACTCCACAGAGGCAAAGCCTGCAACTGTATAAGTGTTTTTTTTCTAAAGCCACCCCTGTACCATCTCCTCTGCCTGTTACTGCTCTGAGGGTGGCTATGGTCCAGCACATCCTGCACCCTCACTGTCCTGCACATCCTGTGCCTGCCAAGCACCCTGAGCCGCTGGCCCCCGCTGGCCCCACGGTCGGCCTCCAGACCAGCTCCGTTGCTGCTGCTGGCCCCGTTTTGGTGCATCTCAGACACCTTTATCTGAAAGTCACTGGGTGTAGTCAATCAGTAATTAAACTCAGGTAACCCCTGAAGACTACTGCATTGCCACTGCAAGGTGACAAGTAAATTGGTCGACTGCTTGTCCAGTGAGAGCAGCAAACTCATCAAGAAAGCCCAGCAGAGGATGTACTTCCTGAGGCAGCTGAAGAAATTCAACCTGCCAACACGGACGATGATGCAGTTCTACACTGCAATCATCGAGTCCATCCTCACCTCCTCCATCACCGTGTGGTACGCTGGAGCCACTATCAGGGACAAACAGAGACTGCAGCGTGTTGTGCGCTCTGCTGAGAAGGTGATTGGCTGCAGACTCCCATCTCTGCAGGACCTGTACACCTCCAGGACACTGCGGCGTGCAGCTCGGATCTCAGCTGACCCTTCTCACCCTGGACACAGTCTGTTTGACCTGCTCCCCTCAGGCAGGAGGCTCCGGTCCATTCGCACCAGAACCTCTCGCCATAAGAACAGTTTCTTCCCCTCTGCTGTTGGACACATGAACAATAACCACATGACTGTCCCCGCCACTAACACATGACCCTACGCTGTGTCACTGCATCATTTCATGTTTGGCACTGATCACCACCTGCACTCATGTATATATCTTTCTACGTAGCACTCATAATTCTTATTCTCATGTATATATCTCATGTATATCTCATGCACATATCTTTCTTTCTACATAGCACTTTAATTCTTATTGTTTGCACTGAAGCACCGCAGCAATTTCCTAATGTTGTAAACCTCAACATCTGGCAATAAACCCCATTCTGATTCTGATTCTGATTCTGAAACTCCAGGAAAGACCAATGAATGAATCAATGAGCACAGGAGACCAGTTCAATTATAGCAGAGAGAGGAACCACCAGTAATCAACCTGCAATGGTTAATTACTGCACTGGTGTTAGGTACTAACTTGCATGTTAGTACCTAACACCAGTGCAACAGAACGAGGAAGAGATCATATACAGGGTGACACTGTGAGCTGATCGGCCACAGTAGCAAAATAGCAACAGTAACACTGATGCTGTCTATGTGGGCGTGTGTATGTATTGATTTAACTCTCATATAGATCTTGATGAAGACTGACATCTATGACTCTGACTTTAAATCTCATCCAAAAGCCAGAGGGGCCTCTGCCACTGCTGTGCCAGCAACATCCTGCAAAATGTGTGTTTTAGTAAAAAAAGACAGATATAAGGATCAAGATGAAGATGAAGATGGGCTGGTGTGGGTGGTTTAGATGGCTGACTGATGCAGTTAAAATAGAAGATAACATCAAACTGTTATGGTCTGGAGTCTAGTGACTCCGTGGTTATGTTTGTTTTTATTAATAGTCACAATTTTAACTTGTTTCCTGGTTATTTGTTAACTATTTCCAGTGTTTAGGTGTTCTCTCTGCCTCCTGTGTTTCTTGTGTTGTGTCTAGTGTCCCTGGTTTGATGTTTGTGCTTATTTTACTTTGACAGTCCTGTGCCCTGCATCAGTGTATTGTTTTGCTTCTTCCTGCTCGTGTCTGATTTGTGTCAGCTGTGTCTCCCTCCCATTTCCTCATTTTCCCTTTGTGCATATTTGTTATGTGTGTTTACCTCTGTTCTTCGTCTCCATCTGTGTTTCCTTCATGTTTCATGTCTCATTACTTTGTAGTGTTGTGTAAAGCCAATAATAAAGGCTAGCTTTTTTTTAACATACACCTTCACACCATTTTGTGTGTGCTTGGGTCCTCATTCTCATCATGAGGTCATCTGAGAAAAATGGCATATATCACAACTGATCAGAAAATTGCATGCCTGTATTAGAAACATGTTGGCCCTATTTAGCAGGGAAGACAAGCAGGAAATAAGTCAGAGTGCCTGTT